TGCTGAATGTGGTGTTCATTCGCGATTTTGTAAGTTAAGCACTGAACCGATCTGGACCAAAAATGGCACAATCTACTTGAGACATTGAGAAACTGAACACGTGATACGCATTTCGTAACTGCGGAAATGTGCGTAACATCTGACAGTTTCTGTAAGGAATTTCCATTCCTTACTGAGTCGTACGTTAGCGCGTACACCCGAGCTCCTCGACTTGTCACGTTCGGCCTCATTTGTCGGCCCAACCCTTTCTCGTGTCGCGTCCGGCACTGTCGCCACATTGCCGAACCTACCCACGTTTTGAGGTTATCGCCTTAGCACGCCAACCCCTGTATAACCTCCTGCCTTCATTGCAATAGCGACCTTGCATTCTCACGTTATATTTCATTGACACTTCCTATATCATAACAGTTTCACACCTGAAATTGTTAAAACAACTACTTCTAAGAGGGTAAAAATTACCAACCAAGCATGTGCTGAAATTTTCACCTGCCATTGCTGGCTTCGCTAAACGCAGCTTAGAGTAGTTATGTAAACGTTCTTGTGCGAACGTTCTCTCCGTGTTCAATGAGGTTCCATGTGGTAGTACTAGTATTTGCCTTGTATACCATAATTGTTATTCTTGATTCTAGTGAATTGGTGTGCCCAAGCTTTCTCAAGCTACTCAGTGAAACAAACAATTCCGAAGGCTTTCTCTCCTTAGAGAACTATAGAACTAGAGTAGCTCTTTTAACATCGGGAACTTCCACATAAGCTCCCGTTATAGCAGAAAAATCTGCACTCAGCGTATCCCTTGTGTTCATAACCATGCGAGGGGTTGGTACCATAAACGCGGAGCTGGTAACTTCCAGAATCGGTGCCAAAGTAGTTTTCCTCGGTGGTTGCTCAAGCAAGGAATCTTAGCTGCGTAGATATCCCACGGTGATGGGTTAGGACACTTGGGAATGTTAGGGCTAATCCCAAATAATCCTCTCCCATTTCCAAATGGGCATTGCTGACAGCCAATCGAGTATGACCTTATGCACTTCCGGTTTAGCACGGAGGCCATCGGTAGGCTTCGGTGTCTGAGCGCAAATATTGGGATAGGTCTTCTGGTGCCATCATGTGTTGAAGTATGCTCCATTTCAACACATAGGGTTGTTGTTGGAGATACGCAGAGTCCAGTATCCGGAGTGGCGTCGATGCTCCATTTCACGCCTATCTGCTTCCATGAAGGTGATGATGTTGATGGATTGGTTGCGAGGCATATTTTTTTTCTTTTAGGAAAGCCATAGGCCATGAGGACTTGTATACCGATAGAGTACCGTAGTCCTCACATCCTCATAAGAGCAAATATCTCCTGCTCTTTAGGGTATATGGCATTACCATAGCTATTCCAGTGCTTAGTGGTATCTCCTTCTCATTAGCTGGAAATCATAGTATTGTGCCATATTTTGCCTGGCCGGATCTTTACGATCATATTGGAATATAATCCAGTGTTATCTCCATTGAGGGGAGAATCATCCATCAGGGTTTGACAATCTCTGATGCTTTGAGTCTTGTACTGCGGCGGCGGCGGTTGGGATGATGGCGACGGCGGCAATTGCTACAGAGAATCCTCACAACTCGTAATGGTTGAAGGAGAATCCATCAACTCCCATTGTAGAGTGTTCCTGATGGGTGTAATAGGCGTAACTACTAGGAGTACTCCACTACTACCGGTGATGGTTTCATTTGAGGGTATGAAGAATGGTTGCTTCTCTCTTCAATGTATTCACGGGTAGTAATTCCTGTTATGCTAATCCGTGCCTCCGATGTACGGTCGGTAGAGCACGTGATTGTGCTGTTGTAGTTTGCATCTCTCTCATTTGTTGACACCTCGTGTTGCTTGGCGTTCTCCTGCATCGTCGAAGTTACGCTGATGCTTGTAACGCTTCTGCTTCTGGTAGAATTGCCTCCAATGCCTGTACCGTAGGGTCGCTTGTGAACGAGTACTTGCCCGATTAGAAGGTTAATTACTCCTCAATCTGTCAAGCATCGTGACATGCACATAGAATTTTCCACGCAAGTCATTAACAATTAGAATCGCGACGCATGATTGATGTGTCGCCTCGTGAGGTTGATGTTGAGACTGCTCCATTCAATCACTTCAAATGGCTGAGATTCTTGATGAAGACGAATCAATCAGCTCCTGTTATGAAGTAGTGTCTCACTGGCCTTGACGAGACAGGTTAACTGCGTCGTTGTTGCGTGTGAAATCTGCTCCTTTGCAGCAACTTGATGTTGGGAATATTGCAAGAGAAAATGAGAACTTCTCTGCAATCCCATAGCTTGTCGATAAATTTTTGTGATGAAGTGTCTTGTGGATGGAAAACATATCTTTACGCAGATTCATTGTTTTTCCTGGGTGAAGATCTGTTGTGTTTATGTCAATCTTTTTTTAACAAAGATAACTTCGTCAAAATAAGTAGATCATTATCGACACTCGTTGGAAGATGCGTCGATTGTGCAGTCGCTGGTCACGAATGTTGTCTCCATGATGATGCTTTTCCATAGTATAGTCTCAACTGCATTCGTACAATTGATTCTGCATTGATCCGACGATCCACGTTTTCCTGTCAGTTTTCTGCTTGCAGCTATTACCATGCTGGTACTGTAACTCTGTGGCAGATTTCCGACTTTGCAGATGATGCGCACCAAATTCGTAACCAAATGGAGGAATCCGAATTTGGCTGTCCTGCTGATGTCTTTGGTGTCGAAGGCGGCTGCATTTCTATTCTGCGCGTCATTTTACCTTAAGGTAGAACTCGCGCTCTATCTCGTCCGTTGAAGCAGACGTCGATCCGACGGTCCAAACTCCAAGCGATTTGAAAATATTACTGAGTCGCGTTCAGCAGCTTTCGGTGACCGGGTCGACTCGTTTTTTCCAGCAATTCTCGGTCGTCAATTTCGGATATCGAACGATCGGACGCTCCGACGAATTTCTCGGCTGGCCAAATCCCGTTCCCATTAGCGCTGGAGGTTGAACTCGCTCAGAAGGCTTTCGTGTCACCTCGGTCAATCTGAAGCGTCGAATCTCCATCGGACGGATGTCGTCGGTCGCAGCTCCATGCATTTCGGCGCAACTCCAAGAGTCGTGGCAAGCTGCGACCTTCTCGGAATGTCGCAGGGAGTGTTCTGTCAGAAACTGACACATTTGCGAGGTCAAGGCGGTTTCCCTCCGCGAAAAAATCGGCTCCATCGATGCAGTCCGTCGAACGGTCGGCGGGGCATCTCGCCTTCGAAGGCCACCCCACGTGCAATTGCGCGAGGTTAGTCGAAACTTAGAATGAAAGAACGTTGAACTTACATGGACTGAATCCATCCTCGGTGTGCTCCTGGGAGCCCAACAGTTAAGCGTCGAGCTGAAACCTTTGGCTCTGATACCAAGTGTCACAAGATCAAATGAGGTCTGCTCAATGCTGCACTATCCATGAGTACAAGGTGCTTTTATACTTCCACAGTACATCAGATAACTAGGATTACTCTATCCAAAAGAAATAGACCCTTCTAGAAATAGAATCGCCATGCGTATAGCCACGCGAAACTATTGGCTTTAAGGGATTACGGTAGGATTACGCTAGAAATAGCGCACCAGTACATCCCGAGCCTTGTCGGTGATATAACCATAATAATTGGTTAAACCAAAGGATAATGGAAAAGAAGGAATAGGAAACCAAATGAGATGAGATAAACATCATAGAAACCAATGAAATAGAAAGAAAATATGGAAAGGGGAAAAATGGTGTAACGGAGTCGTACTCTCACACGGATGGGACAGATGGGACTGATGGGACGGATGGAACGGGTGGGACAGGTGGGATGGATGGGATGGGTGGGACGGGTGGGACGGGTAGGATGGGTGGAATGGTTGGGACGGGTGGGACGGGTGGGACGGACCTTGCAATGGGCGTGTCAAAGCCCACTTTGAGCGCCTTCCGCTTGATGCTGTCGTGCGACTCACCCTAAGGGACTTTGGGACCCACCCTTGAGCGCCTAAGCCTATGATGCAGTTCCTTGATGCTCCAAGACATCAAATAGGGCATTCATGCTCTGAGACATCAAACACGCCCTTGATGCTATGAGACCTCAAACAGGGCCTTGATGCTCTGCGATATCAAACAGGGCCTTGATGCTCTGGGACATCAAACAAGGCCTTGATTGTCACAGGTCCAGGATTTAGCGAAAGCTTGAATGATACAAAACACGAATTGAATGAAGACAAGCAAAGAGTCAATCCTATTTATACCTACGAGAACTCTAGGGAAGAATAACTAAGACCTTCAAAGAGAGTTATAGAAATGAGTGGAACCGTCTGTAGGAACACCATCTAGAAGCACGGGAGAGATTTTAGAGATACGATGATGGTGACGAAACACTCCACGCAATAGAACAGTTGTGCGTGTAATCAAAGCGCATAGCAGTTACACGCGTGGTAGTTGCACCTGGAGAGTGTGCGTGGAGGTTGCGTGGCAGCTCAACTGTACAGTAACAGCGACTGTAAGGTATCGAGTCGCTATACGCTCGGTAGCACAACAGCAGCTGTAGTAACTGTCTTGTATTCTAGAATAACTATATATTCCTGTATGTTGTTTGTGTTAATCAATTCACTTGTTCTCACATACTAGTGCAAGAGGTTCATTAAGTCTTACATCACGCTTCCGCAAGTACAACATCTCTCTAGGGACTTAGTCTTTGCAAAGATCCTACGGGCTTATCTCAGCCCAACATGGTATCAGAACTAGTCGAAGACAAGGTTCCCACTAAGTTTGTTACAAGCATTCTCGGTTCTTCTACAAGTCCACATTAGTCCACTTCAAGATCACAAGATATGGCATGACAGAAGGAAGCGAGATCCTCCACGGGATCTCCTGGCTCAACACCTACTATGCCCCCAATCTTTGGCCTACAAAATGAAGAGGCGCCTGCGCAAGAAACAGCCCCGAGAGCATCTACTGAGCAAGCAGTCCCTCCGACCGGCTTCGACCCAAGCCTGATGGAGCGTTTCTTCTTCTTCATGTCAACATATGAGCAGCAGCAACCATCAGCACCTGCGCAGTCAGTTAACAGCAACAACAACAACAACAACAACAACAACAACAACAACAACAACAACAACAACAACAACAACAACAACAACAACAACAACAACAACAACAACAACAACAACAACAACAACAACAACAACAACAACAACAACAACAACAACAACAACAACAACAACAACAACAACAACAACAACAACAACAACAACAACAACAACAACAACAACAACGTCAGAAGCATCAACAACAATGCTGAGTTGCCTTCTGGCAGCAGCACATGCATGCTGCAGGACAGCGAAAGATGCACTTCAGCTACAAGCTCAGTTTGCGAACGTCCTCAAGGTGCAAACATCATTTCCGTTCAACGGCAAGGACTTCTATACATGGTCCTTCGAATTCGAGCTCATGTTGGAAGGAGCTCAAATCTTGGGATTCTTCGACGGGAACCTGCCATTTCCATTCAATGGTACTACAAGCGACAAGGAGAAGTACACTTATCAATCCCTGATGGCGTACACCATTCTCCTGCGGAACTTGTCACCAACAGAACAACAGAACATCAGAACTTATCATGGCTACGAAAACTCAGCAAAACTCGCGTACAACCACTTGAAGAGCATGTATCAAGTGAATGACAGCGTAAACTAGAGCCGCCTCGTGGCTCAGTTAACAACCGTCCAGATGCAGCAAGGCGAGAAAGCCATGGCGTATATGAGTCGCTGCCGCAGTCTCCGCGGTAAGCTCCTTCGTTGCGGCTGCAACATACCAGAAGATACGTTTGTCACCATCATCCTCACCGGTCTTGGTTCTTAGTGGCGAACAACCCGCTCTCTTCTTCGCACTCACGGTCGCATCTTGGAGATGCATCTCTGCGCTAAACTTCATGCTGAACAACAAGACATGGACCTGTACGACGAGCGCACAAGAAAAATGTAGTACCCGAGATTGCGTTCTATGCGCATCGTTGACAAGGACGACAAGCAAGACGCTACGTACCACCGTTCTGTCACCTCTACCATACGTCACAACATACATGAGTCAACTGCCCTCGTCAGAATCAACACCAGCAGCAAGTCCCACAGCGCCAGATTCGCCCTTCAGGAAATCAAGTCCCTTCAACCCAACTGCACCCGCCGCCCTCTGCGCCGCGACCTGCACAAGGAACAAGGAACATCGTCAACTGCATGGCAAGAACCGACTCTTGCGTCATAAAATCCCCACCAACTTACAATCCAGACGAAGTAGTTATGCCGCCTCGACGAGAGCAACTGGAACTGAATCCGACTTACGCCGCCATCGCTCAAAGCGAGCTGTCCAGTTGAGATACGTGGTTCTTGGACAGGTGCTGCAAGTAGCATATGTGCTCTTCAGATCGCTTTGTTCAAAGCGAGCGACAACTCAGCCGCGCAGTCATTCTAATCAACACCTGCGCACACGAAGGCAAGGAGTTGTTCAGCTACAATCCTTGGAAACTAACGTGATGCTAGAAATGTCAGAAGTAATCATCGCAGAAGGCTTGGGCTACAACTTACTGAGCGTCAGCCAGTTGATGGCGAAAGAGATTCACCTTGAATGCGACACCACTACCCAAGAGTTCAAATTGTACCACGTGAAGGGCGGCCTCTACATCAGGAAAGCCGTACTGAAGAACAACGTCTTCGTCCTGGACTTTGTTCCCGATTGCGGCACCGCCGACAGTGACGCCATCGTCTCCTTCACTTCCTGGAATCACCCTCCAGATCTTGATCCTGACTTCAGTCTGGGTGGCTTCTGGCACTCGCGCACCATCCTTGAGATGGAACGCACGCGGGCATTAGCAGTCATGCGAGAAGCGAAAACAGCAGAAGAAGAACAAGCTACTGCAGACATACCTTCGCCAGACGCCGGTCCATCAACAGCGCCGCCACCACCGCCAGTTGTGGACACTACACCGACTGCCGCTCAACAGCTTATGCCAGCGCCACGCGAAATCCACCGAAGCGCCGCCAACTTCGCCGCCTTCTACTCAAACTCCGACCTATATCGGAGGGCTGCGAGAAATCGTGCAGATGAAGAAACATGGCATCAATGGCTTGGACACCCTAGCAACACAACACTTTACAATACAATTCGCTCGGGAGTCCTAGACAAGGGCGCCATTCTCCTTCCGAATGGCCGCAAACTTCGACGACCCCGCGGCACGTGCTTCATTTGCCCTGAAGCGGACTTACCACATCAGCCATTCCTATTGCACCACAACCCCAGCGCTCCAGCCTATGCTCCGCTTGACAAAGTATACAGCGATATACTTTACATACCAAGGGAAGCAGGGCGCATGGACCTGTACAACGCCATCGCGTTCATTGACACAGCGACTCGTTACGTCTGGCATCGCCTTTGCAGATTGGCTCCCGGTAGCAGAGAGAGAATCAGGGGTGAAGCTCAAGAGCTTACAAACAGACGGGGTGATGGAATACCAATCACACCGTTTCAATCAGTACCTAGCGGATTGGGGAATCTAGAGACTCATCTTGCTCCCCTACGCTCACCAACAGCAAGGTGTAGCAGAAAGGATGAACAGGCCGCTGCAGACAATGATGAGAAAGCTGCTCCGAGGCATGCGCCTGCCCAACTCGCAGTGGTCGGAGGCGATGGACCACGCCGTTATGCTCCATAACCTGCTGTCGTCTTCCTCCCTGCCGAACAACGCATCACCGCACCTGCTATGGACAGGAAAAATGGGCAGCACAAAATTACTACGAGTTTTCGGGTGCATGGTACAGTACAGGCCCCATACTACACGCGCCGGACGATTCTCACAACGCGCTAAATGGGGACTACACCTTTGCATCGAAAAGAATTACAACGCATGGAAAACCTTTGACGTGAACGACAAGGAAACAGTGACAGCACGTGACGTGATTTTCTACGAACGTCTCACCTTGCAGCATTACCTGGACAACATCGCAGCCGACCGGGACCTTACTGGTGGATTCAACGGCAGCCGAGCCTTCGCCTCCTCAGCAGAAAAAACTGACTGGGATGAGCAGAACATCGACGGAGCTTCAGAGGCTGCCAGACCTCTCCCTTACTGCTCCGTTCCTATCCCAATGGATGACGAGGATCCACGCGAAAGTGCGAATGCCGAGGCATACTACCATTTCGCCAACAACGGTTACGTAACACCCCAAACCGTCGACACAAACGTTTTCGAACGTAATGGGCCTGGATTTGTACCTGATCCAGAAGCGGGAGATTAAGCAGTCTATCCCAAGGATCCCCTCTTGCCTCGCTTCACACCCAGTGGACTTCAAATTCTCGGCCTCGTCGCCGCTGTCCTCGGAGCTTCGATGCCACCTCCACTCGAGCCTACGACCGTCAAGCAGACTCTAAAGGGGGAGCACAGGGAGAAATGGCGCAAAGCAGTGGAAAGGGAGTTGAAGGCGCTTCACGAGTGCAACTCCTGGCAAGTGGTCCCCGTCGCAAAGGCACACGACAAAAAAATCCTTCAGGAAAATGGGTCTTCACAGTGAAGACCAAAGCACATGGCACGATCGAGCGCTTCAAAGACCGTTGGGTCATTCGGGGCTTTGACCAGCAGTAGGGGCGCGACTTCATAGAAACCTTTGCACCTGTTAGTCGACACACATCCCTACAAATCCAGCTCGTAGTCACCGCCATGCATCGCCTACCGCTACGCCAGATCGACGTGGCAAATGCGTTCCTGTACGCGACTGTCGACGCAGAGATCTTTGTAGAGCAGCCGCACGGGTTTGTCAAAGATCCCACGCTAATCTGCCAGCTTGTGAATTCCCTGTATGAGATTAAGCAAGCCCCACGGGTCTCGCAGCAGTACCTTTATGTACGGCTCATCCGCATCGGGTTCTTACAGTTGCCGCACGACTAGGGTATGTACCGATTCAAACGAGAAGCCGCCTACGTATTGCTGATTATCTACGTAGACGACCTGCTGTACGTAGGCTCGACCGCTGTCGTCATGCCTGGTTTGAAGGGGAGCTACAGCGAGACCTCACGCTCACGGTCTCCCCTTCCTGAGCCAGTTGTCAAACATATCCTTGTATGTTGTTATAGACTACATAGGGTCGTGCCTTAGAGAGTACAACCCACTAGGTTATATTCCTTTGTATGCCATGGTTCTAGTCATTCGTTAAATTCAACATGGTATCATGAGTAGGTTAGGTTCCCCCCGCCCACCAGCACTTCCGCCATAGGTCCTAGCCGCCCCGTCGCCCTCCCGCCCATGCTGGCCCGTCCCATAGTGGCCCCCGTCACCTAGCACCTAGCTGGCCCCGTCGCTTAGCCAGCCCCGTCGCCTAGCCGGCCCCGTCGCCTAGTCGGCCCCGTCGCCCAGCCGGCACTGGTGCCTAGCCGGCCCCGTCGCCTAGCCCGCCCCGTCGCCTAGTCGGCCCCCGTCGCCCAGCCGGCCTTGTCGCCTAGCCGGTCCAGTCGCCTATCCGGCCCCGTCGCCTAGCCGGCCCCGTCGCCCAGCCAGCCCCATTGCCTAGTCGGCCCCCGTCGCCCAGCCGGCCCTGTTGCCTAGCCAGCCCCGTCGCCTAGCCGGCCCCGTCGTCCAGCCGGCCCCGCCGCCTAGCCAGCCCTGTCGCCTAGCCGGCCCCGTCGCCTAGCCGGCCCCGTCGCCTAGCCGGCCCCGTCGCCTAGCCGGCCCTGTCGCCTAGTCGGCCCCGTTGCCCAGTCGGCCCTGTCGCCTAGCCGGTCCCGTCACCTCGCCAGCCCCTGTCGCCTAGCCCCCCCCGCCCCCCCCCCCCTCCCCTTGCTTAGCAGGCCCCGCCACACAGCCGGCACCGTCGCCTAGCCGCCTAGCCGGCCCGTCACCTCGCCGCCCGCGGCCCCGTCTCTTAGCCGCCACGCGGCCCTGTCTTCCAGCCGCCACACGGCCCTATCTCCTAGCCGCCCGGCGACTCCGTCGCCTCACCGCCCCGCGGCCCGGTCGCCTGCCCGCCACGCGGCCCCTCTTGATGAGCCGCCCCGCGGCCTTGCCGCCCAGCCTCCTCGCGGCCCCATCCCTCAGCTGCCCCTGCGCCTCCCACCTCGCTTCATCGGCCCTTCACACTGCACTACACCGCACTCCACCGCCCTTAGCGAGCTGCACCACACTGTGCCGCCCTGCACCGCACTACACCGCAGTGCACCGCTCTACACCGCACTGCACCGCACCCTACCGTACTGCACCTCACTCTACCGTAGTCTACCGCACTGCACCACACTGTACCGCACTGCACCGCTCTGCACCGCACTACACCGTACCCTACCGTGCTGTACCTCACTCTACCCCAGTCTACCGCGCTTTGACGCGGAGGGTCGGCTGGTTGAGTTCGACACGTGGCTCGTCGTCCTCCGCCGTCACCTCACTGGTCAGCGGCACAACGGCCACTCCCTGGCCGTCCACATCGACGGTACGCTCCCCTGCCCTGACCCCCCTACTGCTCTACCCGCTGACCCCACGTCTGCTGACCGTGAGTCTGCTGCCGCTACTCCCCTTGCCCGTGTTGTCTGGTTGTCGCGTGACACTGTCGCACAGCTCGCGATTAGTCATGCCCTCCCCCTATCTGAGCGCCCCCGCTTTAGGTCAATCAGGACTGCGCACGAGTTCCTAGAGGCTGTTGTCGCACGCTATTCCACCCCGCCCTCTGCCTCCGTCGGTCGCCTGATCCTGCCCATGCTCCTTCGTGATCTCGTGTCTTTCTCCACTGTCGCTGACATGGCCGCCCACTTGCGCACGCTAGACGCGACCTGGCTCGCTGCCAGCACTGAGGCCCAGCTTCGTGTGTTTCAGCCCCCCATCTACTCTACCCTCTACCTGCTTGCCATCCGCCTCCCTGGCCGCCTTGCTACCGCCCGCGATCACTTTCTTAGTCTCCACCCCATGGACCTCACCCTCTCTGAATTTGTCGACACCCTGTCTGCCATAGAGACTCGTCAGCGCTCTATCGCTCAGTCTAGCGGTACTGTGCTGGTCACTATCTTTCAGAGCTGTGCCCCCGCTCAGTGTGCTTACTCTGACAGTACTACCGCTGTCGCTGAGACAGCCCCTGCTGCGGAGACAGTCGCCGCGGCTGCCGCAGCGCAGTTTCGTCCGGGTAAGGGTCGCCGCCCCAAGGCAGGGCGCGACGGAGGTAGCGGAGGAGGGGGTGGAGACGGTGGTGGAGGTGGTTTGCCTGCTGGTAATACTGTTGAGGGGGCTGGGGCTGGTGCCTCAGAGCAACAGCCCCAGCAGCAGCAGCAGCAGGCACCGCAAGTGGACCAGCAGCAGCAGCAGCAGCCACCGCAACAGCAGCAGCACCAGCAGCCGCAGCAACAGCAGCAGCAGCAGCGGCGGGTCGGTCGTCTCCCGCCCGGATGGCCTGGCGCTGGTGGTGGAGGTGGTCGCAGTGGTCGTGCGCGCAGCGTGACGTCGGGTGGTGGTCAGAGTGACGGGAGCTGCCAGTACCAGCTCCAGACCGGTCCTCGCTGCGGCCTCGTGTGCGGTAAGATCGGCCATACCCCCACTCGTTGTTTCAGTCACCTAGACGACCTGTTTCGTCTCCGCTTCGGCCCGGCGACAGACCTCCCCAACT